AAAATGAGATCTTTTCTATAGAAACCTTTTTAATGATTATTGAATTTTGCTCATGGTCATATTTTAATAATTATTGACATGTATGATTAATAAAATATTCAAACCGCTAAATATACCAAAAATTTCCTAATTTTCTATTTGGTTGGTAATTTTTTTTTTTAAATTCTGAGCAAGGCTCATGTTTGATGGTTAAAAATTGTCAACTAAACAAACTTTTATGCATCATTTTTTTAGGTTGTCTCATTAAATTATTATTTTTATTAATATATTTGAAAATGTGATCATACTACTTAAATAAATTCAAATTTTGAGGATGAACAAATTAGAAATGATGTGTAAAAATTATATGAATGATATAACATCCATGTCTTAAAATACGTTAATAAAACAACAATTTAATGATTAATCCACCTTTTCTTAACAAATTTTAACAAGTATTTTTTTTAAATACTTATAAAATTTAATATAGTAAGATTAAGGATCAAATTGAGATTTACTCCAAAGATTAGGGGCTATTATGTAAATTTCATCCCTCTCAAATAATTAACATTTTATATATAAATTAAAACAATTTGATTATTTATGGTCTAAGTTAACGTCTTACAACATTCTTAAAAGTTGCAGCTTTGAATTCACCTCCCATCTTCAAATTTTTAATACTATAAAAATTTGATTATTTATGTATAAATTCTCATATAAAAAAATTTGTAATTTATATAACAACAAAATCGATATATTCTACCATATTTATTTTTTTTTATAAAATCTAGTATTTTATTGTATAGGATTCACTAACAATTGAAGGTTGTTTATTAAGAAAAAAAAAAGATATTTACATATAACACTAAAAATTTTCTAGATATATGATTTATCCAAAGGAAATTAGTTTATGTTCTGAACAAACCCAGACCAAGTAAATGAGGGTGCGTTCGTAATTTAAAAATAGAAATATGAAAATGAGTGATTAAATGAAAACAAAGTTGTTTTTAACAATATTCATGGGTTCTGTTTCAAAATAAATTAACAATGAGAGAAGTAACCCATATCTATTATAAATCTTGGGTCTCTTATCTTTATCTTTAACATGTGCCTCGAGATCGTGGCTCTCTTGACTCATCCGTCTCGGTCGGATCCCATTTTTTGACCGAATGTTTGAGTTTTTTGAACTCTTGATACAATATCAATATTGATGGGTTCTATCTAAAACCAATTGGTAAGAGAAGAGTAGTCATGTCTAATATAAATCTTTATCAGTTAGTTAAATCTAAAACAATATTAATTGATTTACTGATGTATATATTATAAATTTTGAAGAATTATTATTTTACAATATTATATATCTTATAATATATCATATTTTACATTTTTTAGTTAAAAACCAAAGAAATGAGTTTATAACATGATATAATATATATTATAAAAGTTTTTATCTTTCTTAATATAATTCCGCATTTTAAAGTTTCGAATTCAGAATTTGAAAACACTAGAAATATAAAATGCCAACATTTATATAATCCGAAAATATTTTTCGAAAACAAATCTGAAACAGAATCTGAATAGGATGCCAAATAGTCCTTAAATATTTTGTAGATCTAAACATGTAAACACCCATTGGTTCAAACAAGGATATATAACCCTAACTTGCTAGCTAGGGTTTTAAATTACACCATATAGCTTCATTAAAGAGAGAACACAGCTCAAGGACTCCACACACACACACACAAAAGTGAAATAATTATGAGTCTTAATTAAGGGTATTTAAGGAAATGAAAAAGATAAGAAAAACTCAAGCTTAAAAAATAAAAATCATACAACCTTTTCAATTTGTTGTAGCTTGAAGAGATTTTGGAGGTGTTTTGAACCTAATCAAAGATTGTTTTCAAATTTTTTTTTTATGTTATTTTGTTGCATTGTGAGAAATTTGTTTTTGAAACTCTTGAAAAAAAAAATATACGAACACTTGGAAAAATGGATGTTTCAATGTAGGATCAGTACCATATTGTAAATTCAAATTAAGAAGGTAAATTTTAAGTAAAATAACACTCACATGTATTAAATCTCTTCTTGGTGCAACCTCCACATGGATCATTGTCCTCTTTGAAATTTTAACTTAGAGAATGATCATTGGAAATGCCTACAAAATTGAGAGCAAAGAAAGAAAGCCCCTAGTGGAATATATAAAGGTCAAAAATAAAGTTATAGTCTATCATGTTTCAGGAATTTTTTCAATTTAGTACCTATTATTTTAAAACTGTTAATTTAAATCATACTCTTACTATTAATAAATGTTAAAATTGATGGATGATAAGCTTACGTGAAATTTAAAGGAGGAAGTTCCTCTCTCAGGTAGACTAATTTTCCTCTGCTAAACTTCGACTGCCAACTCACTGAGTTTTACCATCAGCCAAATTTTAACATTCACCAATCCAGTAATGGTATAATGGCAAGTGTTGAAATGTAAGTGACCAAATTAAAACTTTTGAAACTAACTTCAAAAGAAAACACCTAAAAATATTAGGGACTAAAACATATATTCAACCTTGATCTGCATATAAAATATATCGATGATATATAATTTTGGGTAAATAGAAAGAAGAGATATATAGAATAAAATTGAGAGAGAGGGAGTTTAGAAGTCATGAGAATGGTGGTACATTGTTGGGTCAGTTCCTCCATGGGAGGCATGTCTATGATCTCCCCCTTCTGCCCCGATTTGAGCTGAACCAGAATTTGCTCCAAGATTAAGATAAACCAGTCTTGTGTCAAGGTTCAGATTTCCAACATTGCTGCCATTGCTGCTGCTGCTGTGATCTTCACTCATTGGTGGATAAATTGGAGTGGAAGATGAAGCATTTGCGTTGCTATTGTTATTGTTGTTGTTGCCTTGTTCTCTTGATATAACAAGTGCAGCTGACTGAACCAGCTCCAAACAAAGCCTCAGCTTGTTTGGTTCAATGTGGGTCATCCCTGGGACAGCTCCTTTGAAGAGGAAATCTGAAGTTAGGGTTCTGAGTATGTCGAGCGGCGTCACGCCGTCGACGGTTCGGATTGTGGGGTCGGCGTGGTGGTCGAGGAGCACGGCCACCATGTCGGCGGAGACCATCTCCGACGCAATGTGGAGAGGGGTTTTCCCGGCTGGTCCGGCAGGGTAGTTGACATCGGCGGCTCCAAGCTCGAGCAGGGCCTTGACGACTTCTCGACTGCAGTTCTCGACCGCGTAGTGCAATGCCAATGCCTCGTCGAGGTTCAGGCCTTCGCCCATGACCATGAGCTTGACGAGCTCGACGTCGGAGGAGTCCAATGCCCTTCTCATACGGCGGATCTTCTGCTCCTCCAGGTCGGCCGCGGCACTGAGCTGGAGGTGGTGGTGATGGTGGTGGTGATGGGGCATCAGCGATCGGCGAGCGAGGGAGGATTTGAGCCGAAGCTCCTCGATTTTCGCAACTACGTCGAGGGGGATGTGCTTTGCTAGAACTTCTGTTGGGAGGCCAGACTTTGCCACCAAATGGGAACAAGTAGTCCATAGCTGGTGCATGTCTTGCTTTCTTGAAGCAATTAGAACTTTCATTACATCTTCAATTGAAGCTTTCTCTACCATGCTTACAAGTTGCTTCTGAGTGTCCCACAATACACAAAAAATGAGTTAAAGAGAAAAAAATTAGTAATATATGATGGTATAAAGAAGGAAATCTTTAGCTTGAACCTTTACTCCATTCATTTCCTATCTATTAAAATCGTTCAATTATCACTACATTCAAAAGTAAAACCGTTCAATTATCACTACATTCAGAAGTTTGTATAAAGTCCCTTTAATAATCTACGTACTCAAATAACGAAGAATTGGTGATATAACTATATTTTTTCCGACATGAACGAGGAGAAGGAGATTCAAATATATAGATAGAAACTTTAAACCAAATGAATCTTGTCAACCATTGAATTATCATATCTCAATGAAAACATTTTGTTTGGAAAATTCTGCTTCTCAATAGAGAATGGAAAAATAAGGAATTTGAATTTTAAGATGGCCCCAACATTCATATATACAAAAACTAAGCTATTGAATGTGTAGAAAAACTTAGAGAACAAAAAGAAAGGAATAAAATTTATGTAATATATGTTTATTGTTTGCATATTTATTTTCTCAATTGCCTTTTATGTGTTGAAGAAGAGAACATCATAATCTAATGATTGATTAAAAAATGCTTGTTTAATTCATCAAGAACTAGTTAATTAATATCATATAGTGATTTTTGGGCAAATGAATCAAACTTTTATTCAAACTTCAACTGCTATTACATCAATAATTACTTCTTCCCTTTCTCAGTCAAAAGTCCAATGGATCAAAAGATGAGTCAATTAGAATATATATATATATATATATATGATATATGATATATCTCATGATTGGGAAGAAAAAAGAAATAAAATGGAAAAGGGGTAATATATGAAGAACAAAAATAAAGATTACCTAATATATGTAAGAAATGTTAATTGAAGGAAAAATAGAAAATGGAATCATTAAGAAAAATCTCTTCTTCCACTCTCTTTTGCTAAAATCAGCTTCCAAACTTAATCAGTCCAAATCCCAAGAACTCACCACACCCACCAAATGACCAGAGAGAGGAGAGAGAGGGAGATCCAAGAGAAACTAACATTCCTCATGATTTTAGAGAGAGAGAAAAAAACCCATTTGAGAAGCAGAGAAAGACTACCGTAACCGATAATCAAATCCATCAACTTAAAGTTTTCGAACCAAACCTGAGTGAGCAATGCGAGCTGCTCGACACCAAAGGATCTAGCGGCAGCGAGAGTATCAAGGGCGAGATCGACGGCGGAGGAGCAATGCGTGTGCCAGCAACCCCTCTCCCCGCAATTGGGGCGCGGCTCGTGCTTCTGCGGCAAAATCGAAACTTGGCCACTGTACAGGAACTGAAGCAGCAAAAGAAACACCTCATACCCCACGCTGTTCACAGGGATCACTCCCTGCGGCGCCCCACCTCCACCGCCGCGAGAATTCGATCCCGTGGAGGTAGGAGAGCGGGAATCAACGACAGCACCGCAGCCCCCCGCCCCGGCCTCGGAACCGCAGAAGAACTTCCGAAAGAAGAGGCTGCGGGCGGCGAGGATGCAGCGGTGCGCGTGGACGAGCCGCCCCTCGACGCTGAAGGTGACGTCACTGAAGGCCTGCCCATTGATGAGAAGATTAAGGTAATCCAGGGAGAGAGATCTTAGGGACTCCTCAAAGGTCATCTCCAAAACCAAAAACTAGAGAGAAAGGAAGGGAAAAAAAAAGGGTATTTTTTGTTTGTGTAGTTGTAAGCTAGGGTTGAAGGGAATTTTGGGTTTTGGCTTAAATTTTCTCTCTATGAGAGAGGAAAAGTTGGTGAGTTTAAATGATTGATTTCAATATTTGTGCTGTTTGAAAGCAATCCCAGTTGTTGTTACTCTTCAAGGAAGGAGAAATGACTGTGGAAGAGGAGAGAGAGAGAGAGAGAGAGGAGAGAGAAGATATTATGGTTATGAATATGGGTGGCTATTCTGAGAGGCCGAGGTACTTAAAACAAAAACAGGTGTAGCATAAATTAATGTGGGGATGGGAGCATTGAGGAGTGCAAAAAAAGTACATTTTTTTGTTTAGTTATCACTTTCTAATACCATCTTAATTAATAAATTATCACTTTCTTTGCTGCAAATTCAAACAATCGAGTCAAAACAAGCATAGCTCAGTATTAATTCGTATGTACTTCCAACTAAGAGATTGTGAGTTCGACCCCTCCATCGCTACATATTGTACTAAAAAGAATCAAACAATCGATCTCTATCCAATCTAAACATAACTCAACTGATTAAGATATATATATCTTCGATTAAAGAGTGTAGACTCAAGTTTCGAGGATTCTCTGCTTCAGAAAAAAAAAAATCAAATTCTCTCTCTGTTTTTTTTTCCCTATTCTTTTCTGATCTCTATCTCTTGTGAGGTTGTTGGGGTTGGACTCAAATGGTAGGTTATTGTGTAAAATTAGAAGCCACTAATGAAGGTATTTATGTATCTTAGGGATATTAGGTGATTATCAATAAGTATCTTCGTATTCACCATCACTAAAAGATTGACGAGTAGAAGAGAAATCACCATCACTAAAAGATTGACGAGTAGAAGAGAAAGATCTAAGGAAAAAAATATTTTTTATATTTTCAAAATACTAAAAATCAGTCAAATTTTTATTGATAGTTAGCATAAGAAGACGTGGAACTGACCGGTAGGCAAGAGCTCGTGCTTGCTTTCATATGTGTTTGTTCCTTTTTTTACTTTTTATTTTTGCGTACATCATATGTGTTTTTAATTTTGACTTAGTTTTTGAATTTTTATGTAGGTTTCATTTTCACCTCTCAACTATTAGATCTCCATTTTAATAATTCAACTCCGTAAAATTATGTTTTAAATTTTTTTATTACAATAAATATAGTAGTATTATTTGAATCTTCAACTTTGAGAATAGTAGATCTCTTTATTGCTAAGCTATGACCCTCTAAAATCGATAATTTTAAATATGACATATAATAAAAAAAATGTCTATGTCAGAGAGTTTCATTATTTTTTTTTCTTAAATTGATGATAAAAATCGGTGACCAACATATGATCTTTAACTAGGTTGTCATAAATAAGTGTTGTTCAATCCTCCAAAATATTTTTAAAAGATAATAAAAGAATTCAA